GGTTTCACCATGTTGGTCAGGCTGGTCTTGAACTCCCAACCTCAGGTGATCCGCCTGCCTTGGCCTCCAAAGTGCTTGGATTACAGGCGTGAGCCACCACGCCTGGCCTACATTTGCAATTCTTGGAATTGAACTGGAACAGTGTAAGAACTCTCTAACCGGCTATGTTGAAGAAGGACCATGAAGGTAGATACAGGAAAACAGAACAAAAACCGGTTGGTGACTTTTAAGATTGCCACATCCTACATTCCATTAAAGCTCAGATCTCACAAAGAGGGAAAAACCTGGGTGAAAAAACAAGCACAGCACAAATAAGTCATCTTTCCAGATAGCAAGCAGCCTGTTCCCACTGCCTCCTTTGGCCACAGTTAATGTTCCACATAGGCCTCCTGTGGGATGGGTGAGCTCCAGCCTAAAGCTGCCCGACAGTGCTAGTGTCAGACATGTACAGAAGGCTCAGGCTCTTTGTACCACATCCCCAGCCAATCCAGCTTTTTTTCTCCAAAGGAAAACGGATGGAGGGAAAAAAAGACACATAGACAAGTTGAACTCTAGTACTAAAGAACATGTGGAAGAAGCAATTCAAGTTACAGACCTGGAATCCCCAGTGTGGGGAACAGGTCAGAGAACACCAAACATGTCAAATATTAACTTATTCACCAAATAGGGGACTGAAGGACACCAGGTTAAATTTTTGTAAATCCTGGAGATTTTGTACAGAAGCAGAGACCCTTCCACTCCCTCCTCCCTAGACTTGACCAGGTGACTTTCCAGTTGAAGTATTATGACATACCAAAATGGGATATCGGAATAACCACTGAGAAAAACGAGCTTGTACTCTGCTGGGGCTTGGGAGACAAGGGGCTTTGCCATGCTCTTCAAATCTCATGTTCTGGTCCCTATAGAAAGAAGAGCTGCTTGAGTTACCCAGCTTCTTCTGTGAGATCCTAGTTCTTTCTTCCAGTGGCCCAGAAAGCTCAGTGTTCAGCACTATGCAGCCTTCTCTGCCCAAGACTATCCCCAGGTCAAGCTGGGGCTGGTCTCCTTGGTACTGTTTCCCTTTTAAAAAATACTCAAACAATCCTTTCCCACCCATTCCCCAAAGACCCCAATAACAACATGGGAGCAGCAGCTGCTTCTACAGTTTTGTTTTGAAATGGCGTTAGATAAAATAAGGGAATAAATAGAGAATGGGTAAGAGGCAGGACCTCCAGGACCTGTCACACTGCCAGAGGGAGTTCTAAGGAAGACTCTTCAGGGGGCCGATCCTCATTCTGCTGAGAGGTCTTCACCACCCCACAGCCCTCTTCATTGTCTGTGCGGAAGGGGAGGTTTGAGGGAGACCAGGAAGGGCGGAAGTCTTCATTTTCAGGATCCTCAGGGTTACAATCTTCGGGCAATAGCGCTTCTAGGGTGGGTGTTTTCCCCACCTCTGATTTACAGAGGGCAGCTGGGTCTGTGGAGCTACAAGCCACCAGTGAGGTAACAGGGAGAGAGAAGACATTCAGATCCTTCTCCTTTGGGAAGGAGCCTGAGCCTTCTTCTGTACCAGGCTCTCCCTTCACTCCCAGGACTGGCCTCTGCTCCACTTGATAATAGACCAGGGGCCCACTGTTCAAGTAGGATGGGCTATTCACCGTTGAGGCAGTTGGGTGATCTGAGTTCTCGGTAAAGCATAGGACAGAGGAGCCTGGGGGCAGCTGAGCCTGGATGAGAATGGGGGCTGTAAGGCCTGGGCACAGCTCTTCGGGGACAGCCAGGGGCTCCTCCAAGATGCACACACCCAGGCTCTCGATGCTCGAGTCCAGACTGGCACTAGAGCCGCTGGAATCTTCTTCTGCCTTGAGCCGCTCCAGTTCCTCTGCACTCTGCAGGTGCATCACTGCTGTCTCATTCTCAGCAATGAACTCCTGGAAGTCCTGGGTCTCAGAGCCCTGTGCTCCAGTCAGGCTGCAACTGGCAGTGGGGGAGGGCTCCTCATCTGGGGCTGCTGGGCGGCTCACCTGTCGCTTGCTCTCCAGCTCCAGCTTCATAATGGTGTGGAGATAATGAGTCCGGACCCGGATTGGATTAAATTCAATGCGCCCAGCCATGTTCCCACAGCCATCCCGGGAGCAGCCACACGGAAAGGACATGCGATCCACCTGAGGGGGGACAAGGAGGTGGGGGGAAGATGAGACCAACAGTCCTAACTGGAGATAGGAGACATTAGCGGGCAAACAGGCAGTTGGGATTTGAGGTCTCCTTATAAAGAGAAAAGCAACAATTCAAAGCATAACATGCAGTGTGAGCTAACAGAACACTAGATGGTAGTTATCAGACCACTTGCATTTCAATTCCAGCTCAGCCATTAATTAGTGGTGTGACCTCAAGAGAATCATTTATCTCTCTAGGGCTTTGTTTCCTCTTCTAAATAAAAAGTAGATAAAAATCACATCACAGGGTCCTTCCAGTTAGAGTCCAGAGATACTTCTCTGAATGCTGATTGTTCTCACAGAGGAAATTTATGTACCTCATAGACTTTCAGAACTTACCTGGTTCACTGAGACAACAAAAGGCTGGACCCAAGCCTGCGGCCTTCTGCAATGACAGGCATGGGAGAGTGAGTGGAAGATCTTGCGACTTCAAAAAAATACACTCTGGGGAAACTAAGCAAATGTGCCTTAGTTTGCTAAGGTGCTAGAATGCCGGTTCAAACACTGGCCAGTTGTTTAGCTACCTGCTTTATTTTCCCTGAGGGTTGACCAGTTTAGTTCTGAAGCAGTTGCCAAGATAATTAACTTACAGACCAGGGAAATCTGGAAAGGAGATGCTTTCTACCTCCTTATCACTTTCGTATTCCAAACCGGAAAACACATAAACCAAAAATAAAAGGAAAAATTAAAACCACAAGTAAGCAGATAAGCATGTACAAATCACAATGTCTTTTTTTTAAGAAATCTCCACTCCAGTTACATCACTTTTTTCCCCTTTGGAGATAGCGTCTTGCTCTGTTGCCCAGGCTGGAGTGCAGTGGTACCACCATGGCTCACTGGAGCCTAGAGCAATCCTAGGCTCAAGTGACCTTTCCACCTCAGCCTCTTGAGTAGCTAGAACTACAGGCATGCTACATCTACCTAACTCTAAAATTTTCTGTAGAGACAGGGTCTCACTATGTTGCCCAGGCTAGCATCAAACTCCTAGGCTCAAGCAATCCTTCCAGCCCAGCCTCCCAAACTGCTGGTTACAGGTGTGAGCTACCATGCCAGGCCCAGTTGCATCAATTCTTAGGACTGTTCTCAGGTGTGTATGTAACACAATAACTCAGTATGGGACTTTAGTCTGAAAAGCAGTGTTTAGCCAGATCTACTATATCTATTTGTTACGAATCTAAAAACAAGGAAAGGATGAGTTAGGAGAAAACCAACCACAAGGACTCAGTATTACACCCTCAGTAATCAAGTTCCAGATAAACTTCCTTCTTTGGGACGGTATTGCTATTTTCAGCTGAAAATTTCAGCTGAAATGTGTCTTAAACTGTCCCCCATCAGAAGGCCAACAAGGGGCCAGGCATGGTGGCTCACCCCTGTAACCCCAGCACTTCAGGAGGCCGAGGCAGGCAGTAATCACCTGAGGTCAGGAGTTCCAGACCATCCTGGCCAACACAATGAAACCTTGTCTCTACTAAAAATGCAAAAAATTAGCCAGGCATGGTGGTGTGCACCTGCAATCCCATCTACTTGGGAGGCTAAGGTGTGAGAATTGCTTGAACTCGGGAGGCGGAGGTTGTAGTAAGCTGAGATCTCGCCACTGTACTCCAGCCTATGCAACAGAACGAGACTCCATCTTCAAAAAAAAAAAGGGGGGGGGCGGGCCAACAAGAGATACTTTCTCTTTCAGGAAACTGTGGTTTTAAGCTCTGCTAGGCCAGGTCTGATCCTTAATTATAAAGCTCTGAAAACTATTTTGATTCTTCAAAATTGGAGTAAAGGTACTAAGTGCTCACAGATATAATCTGTAGGCCTACCTCATTTCTCTGCTTCTTTTTTGAGATGGGGTCTTGCTCTGTTGCCCAGGCTGGAGTATGGTGCCATGATCATAGCTCACTGCAACCTATGCCTCCAGGCTCAAGTGATCCTCCTCCCATCTTAGCCTCCTAAGTAGCTGGGACTACAGGCCACCATGCCCAGCTGATTTTTGTATTTTTTGTAGAGATGGGGTTTAGCCATGTTGCCTGGACTGGTCTTGAACTCTTGGGAAGCAATCCGCCTGCCCGTGTCGGCTTCCCAAAGTGCTGGGATTATAGGTGTGAGCCATAGCACTTAGCCCTGCTTCCTTTTATCTCAAGGAATCAGTCAATATTTAGGAAACAATTACTAAATGTTAAATGTACTAACTCCTCTTCATCCCCTTGCTAACAGCTGCTTATTATCACCTCGAGAAATGAAACAAAGATAAGAGATACATCCACAGCCTAAGAATCCTGTCATGCTTGTTTTCTTTTCAAAAAAAAAATTTTTGTTTTTAAGAGACAGGGTCTCTGTCACCCAGGCTGGAGTGCACTGTTGTAAACTCAGCTCACTGCAGCCTTAACCCCCTGGACTCAAGAGATCCTCCTACCTTAGCCTCCTGGATAGCCAGGATTAGAGGCATGAGCCACCGTCCCTGGCCATGTGCTCTTCGCTGACTCTGTTGATGGAGGAGGGTTGTGGAACTGGGAGTGTTCACAGCCATAGGAAACCCATCCCTGAATGGGCCTGCTATGTTCAGTGGCACCCACACCTCACCCCGCTGACCCTGGTGTAGATATACTATCTCAGGCCAACTTGGACTGACCTGGCATTTAATCCCAGCCTGGCTGCAGGCACACGCTTCTGGGTCACAATACAGTCGGCAGTCACAACCACATTCTTCCCGAGACAGGCGGATGGCTCGAAGTTCTTGCTTCTCTTCAGCATCAATGCGGTGGACCCCAGAAGCCCTCAGCAGAGCCCGTCGCCGTTTGGTGGGCAAAGGCTGCAGGAAGAAGTAATCATCCACCTCCACATTTTCCACATCAATATCTTCATCTGATACATCATCCAGTGTCAGACCATCGGCCTCCACCGACTCCACCGTCCCATTCTTGGTCAGCTGCCAAGAGACAGGAAAGGTTAGCCCCATAGGTATGAGTGGCACGCACCTCCTCACAGTGACCATCCCAGCGCCTTGAACTTTCTGCAATCATGGGAATATCTGCTCTCCAAAACAATGGCAGCTACTAGCACATGTGGCTACTGAGCACTAGAAACGCAGCAACTGGAAAACTGTCATTTTTTTTGAGAAAAGAGTCTGGCAGTCATCCAGGTGGAAGTACAGTGTGCAATCTTGGCTCACTGCAACCTCCGCCTCCTGGGTTTAAGCGATTCTCCTGCCTCCCAAGTAGCTTGGATTACAGGCGTGAGCCACTACACCTGGTTAATTTTTTCTATTTTTAGTAGAGATGGGGTTTCACTGTGTTGGCCAGGCTAGCCTTGAACTCCTGGCCTCAAGTGATCCACACACCTTGGCTTCCCAAAGTGCTGGGGTCCACTGTGCCAGCCCAATTTACATAATTTTAATTGAATGGCCATACGTGACTACTGGCTACTATATTTGCTAGTGCAGGTCAAAAGAATAAAAATCCAGAGTGGGAAGACAGGACATCTCATATAGCATCACCTTTCTGGGTCCAAGCTTCTCAAAAACCTGTCTCATCTTCCCTCCTACACGAAAATCTATTTCCACAAACATATCCTCCATTTCCAGATATGTGTCACCTAATTTTTTTTTTTTTTTTTTGAGACGGAGT